GCCGAGACGATTTTCCTGCTCCTGCAGGATTTGTTCGGGTGTCGGGTATTTACTTCTATCTCATCTAATTCGATGTAAAGCATATAAACTACGTTATAAAACTTGTTTAGCATTATTGAAGTACATCTAACCACATGAAACAAAAATTATCATATTAGATGTCATTCACAAACCCTAAGCATGTTCAAATACATTAAAACGTCGTGAAAACCGTTAAATCTCAGTTAAAACTCATGTTTAAATACTTTCAGATCTTAATCTACCTCAGAGAATTCGTTTGTAATCTTTTAGAAACGAAAGTTTAGATCTTTATATCAAATACTATAAAAGAACTACTGTTATACACAAAATAGGGTTTTAGGCTCAATAAAACCAAATCAAAACTCATTAAAACCAGTTTAAAAAGGGTGTAGGGTTGGAAGAGATGACATTCGCCTGAAATATCTGCTGAAAAACTCAAGAGTGCAAGCACAAACCAGTTCCTCTTGCCACAAGCCAAAGATCTCGCACTCACGCCAGTAATTTGCTTCACAAAGCTCTCAAAACTTGCAAGAAAATGATCTAGGGTTTTTGAGGGGAGAAAGTGGTTGCTAGGGTTCAGAAAATTGATAGAAAAACTAAATTAGAAAAACATGAGTTTATATAAAGGCAAACCTGAAAAGAAGCAAATCGACCCGAATCTGGATTCCCAGTAAGTCTGGGAATCCCCTGTCGGTCGACCGGTCATGAGGCATCGGTCGACTGGACACCTCTATTCGGTCGACCGACAGCATGTGTGCACTTGACCGGCCAGAGCCAGGTCTTGTTGTGCATGATTTTGTGTTCGTGCATGTTTCTAACTCATTTTCTCACATATACAAACTTGTTTGATCTCAAATCACTTGCTATCATCATACTCATCCATCATTTAATGATATTTATCATAATAAAAATTCACTTATCATAATTAATCACATATTATCTTAATTTTTGCGGGGTTTTACACAAATGCCTTTATTGGATTACAATGGTCTTCTTGACATAAGCGGAGATCGTGGATTAGCGAGGCATTTCAGTTGATGAGATGTTTCATCTTTTCGAAAGATGTAAGTGGCTCCTTGATGATAACCACATTTGCCATTAGGGTCTTGCCACGTGGCAATCGCTTCTGCTTTTATATCCAACCTTTTTGTTATTGAAACCTAGAATTTTTAGTATTGGCAACGATTTTTCATCTTTCTTCTTCGAAAATTTCCTTAGTATTCTCGACTCAGCTTCTTCAATCGTTCTTATGGCATCAGGCAGCCAATCTTGGGTGGTTTGCTATGAGGCCAGG